AAAAAAAAACACATCGGCACAGACCCTTTTAATGGATCACGAATTGCCAAACACAAAGCGGAAAGCAACCTGTAATGTCCATGAACACCCATTTTCACAACCCACTTGTGACACCATGAGACCACGTGACATCACAGAACGACACTTTCACTACCCCACAGATCACCATGAGACCATCACGCTGACCGCCTTGCCAAACGCACGACCGCCTTTCGCTTCCCTGTGCTTCCAGCACTGCGGCCGCCATCAAAGCACAAGAAACATATGACAAGCGATGGCCTCCAACCTGCTAGCGATGGCCTCCAATCACATAGAAAAGACATTCACACATTGGGGTGGTGTACCTAATCTTTCTTGGAAATGTTTGATGCTTTCTCAACATCGTGTGCATTGATTGACATATTGCGTGAACATTGTCAACAAAATACACCTTGGAAGCAAGTACTCCAACAGCAAATCCCAGTGGCATTACATTCAGCACTTAATAGAACGCTACTAGTAGCTCCTGGCCTTACTACTAGTAGCAAAGACGCTACTAGTGACAATGCACCGTGGAACCCAAATCTCAACGGCACAGTGACGCAAAGTGCACACCGTGCCGTCAAGCACTGTGCCTATGAAGTCAAGGCAGTTGCGGTGGGTGCACATTCAAATATAATCCCAAACAACCCATCAATAACTATTTACCTAGGTTGACCCTGAAAACACCTCAAAAACCACACCAAACGTAGACAAATATTCCACATATATATATATATAGTTTGGGAACTATACACCTGTCTCGTTAAGGAATCGATCCAGGAGCAAGAAGCTACTAGGAGCAAAGGGCACCGCTACTAGAAGCTACTAGTAGCTCCTCGCCTTGCTGCTAAAAAGCAAGAAGCTGCTAGGAGCAAAGGGCAGTCTGAAATAGATTGTCTTAGAACATCTTGGACCTGCTTTTGACCGCTGCCAAGGCCTGTGTTTGGCATCCCCTGTGATCGCAGCGCTCAAAGACTTGTCGCCAGAGGCGGTGGATTGGAGCAAGACAAGCGTTTTCTTCACAGGAGAGCGGCCCGGACAGTGATTTAATCCGATTGACTCACGTCTTGGTTTGCGCATTGTCCTTTTGTTTCAAAAATGCAAATTGCAATTCTTGCCCCATCTGAGGAATTTGGGAGCCAACAAGTCTTACGCGGACGCCCAAGACGCCTTCTGCAGGAAGTGTGGCGTTCAGCCTCTCAGCCTTGACAAATGGTTCAAGAGCGGCCAAAAACTATTGACAGCCACGTTTGTTGACACAAGTTCCAATAGTGACAATAGTGTATAAGGGAGAACGAGAGAATGTCATCAATGTTTGATCTTTGTATATCTTTGTTAAACAGGAGAAAGCTTCCGCCAAGAGCTATAGCCTCGCTGGTTTCAATCTCAAACTTATTCTTGTACCACTATAGCTACTGTCAAGAGTTGTTGAAGTCACCAGATCAGCTCCCCCGTTCAGAGTTCGTTCGATGCTGGTCAGATCTTCTGTGTTTTGCATGAGTTTTCCTCACGCGCCGTGTATGACGCAGACCGTGCAGTTTCACGTGCAACACACTCCGTTCAAGAGCAATGTGCAGCATGAATCAGGAGAATAGAGATCAGAGAAGGGAATCTGCAGCATCAAGAATTGAAGCATATTGAAGCGAAAGCGTCGGAAAGTAATCATGCCGACTAGTCACCTTCCAGAGACAAGATTCCGGAGAAGCAAGCACTCACAGGGCCTTGCAACAACCTGGAGTGGTTTCAGGGCAAGCTACACGTAGTCGCACCTGCTGCATCCTACAAGAAAGAAGAGATGCTGTCAGGTTCACCTTACAAACTGTTTGGCCAAGATTCTCAAGGTGTTTGCTTGGATCTGGAGTGAGAGCCTTTTGAATGCGTATGCTTCCGCATATGCTTCCGCCATGTTTTGTCCTTTTACAAACATGTTTCTTTGGAGAGGAAACAGTCCGTGCGGTCCTTTCCCGCCGTTGACCCGTTGGAGTCTGTTTTGCTTGTCGCTGGTGCTCTGGAACAAACGACAAGCCCAATGCAGTATATAATGCACTCAACACACATAACATAACCGACATCTCCCTGTGTTGCTTTGTACCTCCTCATCCATACCGATGTAAATCTCGATATCCATGCGAGATCATGCAAAGCGTCTGCACATTTGAGCATTTGGATCATGTTTGTGAGTGCGGAAATCAATTCGTTTTTTCTTTCTGTCCTTCTTGTTCGCCATTCAAGGAGTATAAATCTCGTAGTGCTCCCACCCATGCGGTCGCCCCAGGAACATCTACTATCCGATTTTGCGACCGCTCTTCAGCACTGGCTCCGGACTCCCACCCTTCGCTGTGAAGGAGGCCGCTGCTGCCTACGAGGCCCTTCTGAGGAACCATCCATCCATCGACAATTCAGGCAAGATGCCATCTTTCGAGTCTCAACTCCGGTCAGAGCTTTTTGGGTTGCTTTTCGTTGTGCGACCCGGTTTGGCCTGTTGACCTGGTAATGGTAGTTCTTGAACTTCCCACACTCCAGACGTAAGCAACCTAGCCCATTCAATCGCACTTGGAGCTACAAGAATTTGTGGCTTGGCGAAAGGGGAAAGCCTACCGGTCCGGTAAACTGGCCGGTCCGGCGTTTAGGACCTCTTGCTGTTGGGTGCGGGAGAAGACGGCCACTGCGGCTCCCTTCATCCCGAGAGCGACCAGGTCAAAGCGGAGGGCACGGTGATCAGCATCTGCCTCTCAGCCCAGGAAAGTGAGCAAGTTTTGCCTCTCATGTCCACTTCGGTATCCACCCCAAACCGCCATGGCGCTACGGTGCGCCATTCCTCGGTTTGCTTTTTCTCCCCGGCTTGATTTGGAGGCCAGCCAGGCAAGAACCAGATCGCTGTCTCCATGGATGTGATGTGTGCTGCCAAGTGCCTTGGCACGCGGTTCCACGCAGAACGTGGCGTGCGGCTTTTCATGCTGCACAGGTCCAGGCCCGTACGATCGAATGCACAAGACTTGAGCACTTTCTGTAGTCTTGGTATGTCCCCTCTCACTTTCCTGAAAGAGAACACGATCTTTTGGTCTTTTTTGGACTTGAGATGACTTGAGTACACCTACTCTTTCGCACAAGAGCACATTCTTTCCACAAGAATCTAAGCAATTGTGTGTACGTGTTGTGCTTTCGAACCTGTGTCGGCCGCCCCAAGGAAGGCCATTGTGCTTGCCAGAGGTGCAAAGCAGAAAGACACCGTGCGCCGTGCTTTGTCGGGTGTCCACGGTCTCTATGATTGCCCGGTGGGCTTGGTCAAGGCCATTCTCCTTTTGGAAGAACTTGTTCATTTTCTTACACAGCATTGGATGGGTACAGGTTGGAAGATGTGTTTCCTTGAAGCCCCTTCTCGCACCAGGCCCAATCAACCAGTTGGTTGGTGGACAAAGCTGCGTTCGACAACTTTGATAGGACAGGGTGACAGGGCGGCCACATCGGCTTCAAGTGAGCTGAGTTCATTTTGTATAGCGTCCTTGCTCCTAGTAGTAAGGCCAGGAGCCCCTAGTAGCTTCCTGAGTTTTAGTGACAGGATTTATAAAGAGGTTGACTTGTGTTTTGCTTGCGCAAGCAAATTCCCTTGGGAGTCTGTTGGAGGGGATATCTTAGTATAGGATAGTATAGGCTTCTTGCGTAGACACCCTTTTCGCAATGTTGATTGCTTATGAACTTATGATCGCAGTGTCTTGGGACAGAGGCTCAGTTCAGAGGGAGAATGACCAGTACTGCAGCAACATCATCCAGACAGGCGGCAGCAGCAGCAGCAGCAGCAGCAGCAGCACTGCAACAGTAGGCGTGGGAGAAGGAGTTGAGTAGGAGTAGGTGTAGTAGTTAGCAGTACCAGTGCTAGTAGCAGCAATAGCAGCAGTGGTGGCAGTAGTAGTAGTACGGTAACGCGTTTTAAATATATGGTGGCCTGGCCAGAGCAATCGGCTCCGGAGGTAGTATAAAATACCTGTTCCCACCGTATATTTAAAGGGTCTGGCCGGGCCAGAGCAATCGGCTGGAGGTAGTATAAAGTACTTGTTCCCCCCATATATTTAAAATGTAATCCCTGTTGACATTTCTTTTTCGAAAAGGGAGAGCTTGAGGCCCTTACAGAGAGGCCATGTTGTAACGAGGCAGTTTTTGGCACCTACAGAACCCGATTTTTGTAGAGAAAAAACTTTATGCTTTCTGCCCAGCAACTAGGTCGATCTATGTTTCAAACACTCTCACAGGAAGTAGAACTCATCAAGGACTCTTACTACTTTCAGGGCTGCAGGTTGTATGGGGAGGTGCCACACCACCAAATCAACACCACCAGGGCCGCGTGGACCACCAAGACCAATTGCACCACCAAAACCACCACAACCACCAAGAGTAGACTCCACAATCACCAGGACCACCAAGATCGCCTGGACCACCGGACCCAAGGCCACCAGGACCACCAAGACCACCAAGAGCACGACCAACACCGCCTAGACCGCCACAATCACCACCAAGACCACCAAGACTACCACGACCACGGAGACCACCAAGACCGGACCACCAAGACCACCAAGGCCACCAGCAGTAGTAGTAGTCGTAGTAGTAGTAGCAGTAGTAGAAGTAGTAGTAGTAGTAGTAGTAGTAGTAGCAGGAGTAGTAGCAGTAGAAGTAGGAGTAGTAGTAGTAGTAGTAGAGCGGTGGTGGTGGTGGCGTTTTAGTTCCACATCGAGGACACCAGATAACATGCCCAGCGTGGGCGAATCAGATCCGATCCGATCCGAAAGGGAAACGCTGCATCGCGCATGCTCCACGTAGGCATGCTTGAAGAGCCAATACCTCACGTAAGCGCATGCTGTGGTGGCGTAGGCCTATGCGCCCATGTGTTTATAAGCTGGTCGGAGCTTGAAGCTTGACACAAAGGGAACCATGTTTCGATTCGATGTAAGTGTAATCGCGATGAAACTGAGTTTCTGATAAAAAACTAGCATGGTGAATATATACTCAAGACCTGAAGTGAAAAAAGAAACCGAGGCGCCTTGAAAGCCGGATTCGTCCAGTCTCGAGTGACTCTCAAACGACCCCAGGATGAGGCTTCCCAAATACTTTACAATAACACATGCACAAGTCAGTTTGATGTGGTACTGGAAAAAACACCACATAGATAACATATGATAACATGGCAATTTCCGTTTTCGTACGGTGCTTGGCCCAGCTTGAATGGGATGCATGTTGAATCGAGACATGCTCGTCGAAACATGGGTCGGGAAGTCCCAAAAAGGACGGCATGCTTTAGTGTCCAAACGGCATCAGAGAATCAAGCGTCCAAATTTGGTGCCTTTTTGTCCGGTCCGATGTTTTTGGAGCACCGCTATTGTGTTGAATTATGGTTTTTTACTGAACAATGTTTGCCAGAAGTTAGGCCATTTCAAGACCAAGGCTATGAACTCAAACAGCCCTTGACAATCGGTGACCTCGAAATACCTCGAAGCTGGATGACAGGACCTCCACACTGCATGGTGGACTCCCCAGTTTGCTGCCCTGTGATCGCCTGGCCGAGCTGAGGGAGACTGCCACCAAGCTTTGTGCGCCAGGCCGAAAGAAAGCGGTTTGTAGACTCTTGATTTCTTCTCCCTAGTAGTTTCTTGTTCCGTTCGTAGCGAAGGCCTCCAACCATCTCCAACCTAATAGCGATTGCCTCCACCTAGTAGCGTCCTTGTTGCATCTTGTTAGCCCCACCCATATTACATATGAAGAGGTTGTTCCATTCGATTGGAGGGTTTAACTAATCAAGAGTCGACATTTCTTTAAAAAGCGCTGAGCCGGGTATTTCTGAGAACTTCAAGCAGCATGGCCCCTGGCAAATGTGGCTACCGTTATAACTCTGTTGTCCAAGGTCTTGCTGAATGAATAGTAATGAAACAACATCTTAAAACCTGGCGCAAAAATAGTTGCGAAGAAACAGGAAATGTGACCGTCGACCAACAAATTACCGTCACACACGAAATGCTGCGCCATTTCACCGCGAAAGGCAAAATGAAATGAGCCAAGGCCCAATGTGGAGGTGAAGTGTTGCTTTTCAGGGAGCTCTTCAGAGCCCTAATTAGAGCAGTCCTGGTCTGTAGATTCCGGAAAGAGACCATTAACGGCAACAAACGCATCTTTGCGGCGAAGAATTACGTAGTTTCAACCGCTCTCCCCAAACCAGGCCTAAATTTCTTGCCGAAAGGAACCTCCAAGTAAGGTATGGTCACGTGATAAGACCTGCTCCTTGTTTTGGCGCGAGCCCGCTGTGTTTCCCATCTAGACAGAGCACCAGAGCACCAGAAGTGGTGTGTTGCGTACGGTTCTGCGGGCATTCGCGGTTTCGATCGGTCAGATGTTTTTTTCCGAAGACGGAACGATCGGGGTCGAGGGGTCGCCAAAGCGGTGGCCATCGACAGGCAAGGGTTTCTTGGCGGCGGACGAGAGCGCTGGGCCTTGGCTACGTGCAGGGCATGCAGAAGCAGCCAAAATCCCAGAAGCTCACCTGCACTTGACTACTTCAATTCAATTGGTTAGGATGAACTCAAAAGCCAATTAGTTTTCTATATGACATGAGTCTAAATGTGTTTCTTGCTGTGACCCCGGCTCTCTTTGCAGCCCAACGTGAGTCCTTTGGTTTTCTTTTCCATCGTTTTTTCGCTCTTCCCTCCTCGACATTCCGTCGGATTTCGGAGCTCAGGATTTGATCGATAACCGGGCGGCCTACCGGGCCCTATGCTTCTCCACACCAGGCTTGAGTGAACACATCAGTGGGGTGATTCTCCACTGGGAGACTTTAATGCAAGAGGATGCAGATGGCAAGGCCATGGTGGATATCATCAGAGGGAACGGCATGATTCCCGGAATCAAGGTGGACAAAGGCTACAACAAGAAGGGCATGTGGGGAACACCAGTCGGTCCTCTTGGGCACCCGGAGGTGGCAACTGTGGGATTGGATGATCTTCAGCAAAGGTGTGCGCAAGCCTACAAGGACATCAACGCCTCAACGTGAGATAGACCTCAAGTGATCTATAGCATCCTTTCACACGCCTATGGGTACTGTTGCTGCAGGTGACCCCGTGTGCATTCTTCCAGGGATGCGAAATAGGTCACTTATGTCACTTTGACTCCTTAGCTACATTGAACATGGACGGCTCACGGAGCCCTTTACACCACTCCTTTGCAACCTAGGTCATCCTAGTCTGCGGTAACACCTTGCAGTGGACGTTTCTCTCTGTTTACGCCCTCCAGTCGACCCCTTCAGCCAATCGCGCAGGAAGGAGCGCGATTTGCCAAGTGGCGCAACGTCTTGCAGCTGGATCCAGAGAAAGGCGCAACGTGCTTTCTTTTTGCTAGAGCATGGTAAAGCCTTAATTAAGATGTGGTTGCCTTGCTTCAAGATGTTTTAAGCTTCAGATGTGATATGATTTGATTAGTGTCTGCCTTTTACCCAGGCTTGCCAACGGCTTTGGCCATCAAGGACACCGTCCACACCTTGGCGCGCTACGCCTCCATTTGCCAGAGCGAGGGCTTAGTGCCAATTGTGGAGCCAGAAGCCTGGAGAAGCGAACGAAGCATTCGGGATCTTCCGGTCTCACGAGGTAAGTTCGGTCAGTGAAAAGGGCATGTTTGAACTTGAAGCATTGGGCAGATCCGTTCTAGTTTTAAAGTTTATGATGGATTCCTGTACGTTGCAAGTCGATGGGTTTTCACAAAGCACCCAATGATCTAAATAGTGTTCCTGTTGGATAGGGCCGAGGCCCTTTCACATCCTTCGACAAAGGCTGGCAAAGGGAAACAGAGTTTCACTCCGCAAGCCTTCTGATAAGGAAATTGTTCCCAATGGTGACCATGACATCTACTATTGCGCAGAGGTGACAGAGAAGGTCTTGGCAGCGCAGTTCAGGGCATTGGCAGCTCACCACGTCTACTTGGAGGGTGCTGTCCTGAAGCCCAACATGGTCAAGAATGGCTTGGGGGG